CAGTGGGACCGCCCGCATGCGTCATCCACCACCCGTACAGCGCTTCGTGGCCCCATAGGGGGCTCCACCGAAGGCCCCAGTGGGACCGTCCGCATGCGTCAGCCACCACCCAGTACAGCGTTCCGTGGCCCCACAGGGAGCTCCACCTGAGGTCTCCGTGGCGGAACGCGCATGGCGGCCCAGTGGCGGAGTCCGCATGGCGGCGACTTTCGATGTTCGGAGGTTTTTCGCCGTATTCGACGTATGCAGGCCGCTTTCGGGCCGCGCATCCCGGGCGGGAGCCAGCCTGCTCGATCTCTCTGCTCCACGCAACGGACGGCCCGCGCGCGTCGCCGGGACCCCTTCGGGGCGATCAGCGCACGTCGTTGGGGTTCCGTGCGGCGCCGCGCCCGCAGCCTTGCACGTGGGCGTGCACGGGCAAAGAGGGAGAAACATAACGGGAAGGAAGCGGGCGCGATCCTCGTGAGAGGCGTGCCGACATGGGCGTCGTCATTTATGCACGTAGATTGATTTGCGCGCAGACCCATCCACAATCAGACCCGTTCGCTCTCAGTTTCTCGCACGCAGATCTATCGTCTTCGCTCGCGTTGTGTGCCCCGCCACGCATGTCGGCACGCCCCCCCACACGGTTTGTGGCCCCATAGGGAGCGCGGGCGAAGATGATATTCATAATTGTGGTATGTGCAATTGCATATGGTTGGGCTTATCGCCAGGCGATTTTTTGTTTAGACTGATGCAGATTCGGGCTTGGGTCTAGAACTGATTGCTCGGGGCCCTCGCGCGTTGACTCTTCTCGGAGATTCCAGATGCTGCTCCTCGGTTGAAGCCGTGGTGTCCCGAGGCACCCTCTCGGCCGCTGGTGTCTCGAGGCGTCCCTCCGGCCGCGAGACGCGGTCATTCACAGAGCGCGCTCCACTACTCGCAAAGTGCCAAACAAACACATGCTTGCCTCGATGTAATTAATCGTAGATCCCTTGCGGCGGATCCTGGCCATTTGCGAGTAGCTACTTCGCGAGTAGTGGAATGCGCTCGTCTAGTCATGGGGGGGGGGACCTGGGGGGCGCTTGAGGTTGAAGCCGTGGTGCCCTGGACGCCCCCCGGCCGCGTGACGCTGTTGAGATTGAGAGGGGGGCGCCCGGGGACCTGTGTCTTGAGGCGTTTTCTCACCACTCACCGAGCGCGTTCCACTACTCGCAAAGTGCCTATTCGAAAACGTCAGGAAAAAGAAGTACCTACCTCCCCTATGTGATTTATCCTAGATCCCGCACGGCGGATCCAGGCCATTTGCGAGTACGTATTTCTGCGATTATTGGAACGCCTTTCTCCAACCATGTTCATCATACCGGGATGATCGCAACGGGTATGGGAAAAATGGGTACAAAGTTCGACCGCCTTTCGTGTTCATCTTGATGGATTCGCTGTCGGCGTCGCCGCGGACTGTGCCCACTCGAGGCAGGAGGCCGCCTGCCCAGCAGCGGCCGCTGAGGGTCTGTGACAGCACTTGTTGTTGGGCACGGTGTCCTGCTTTTCCACACCCACCTCTTCGTCGTGGAGACATCGGCGCCACTCCAACATACTAAGACTATGTGTGCGTCGCCCCCATCAGGGGCGACGCGCGCAACGAGAAATCTCATAGTATATGCGTCGTGGCGGGAGCTTTCTGGCCACACCGTTCGGGAAACGATATTCATAAGATGGCTACACTATATATGTTCGGGTCGGACGCGCGTTTCCAACGATAACGTTATTATTAGTATGTCTCTGTGCGTCCCAAGACAGCAGGGCTCTTGTCAGGATCGGCTTGTGTACGAGATCGTTGCGCAGAAAACGATGTCCACATGGCTTCTTTCGCACTGCAAAATTCACAGGTGTTCCGAAATCACATCGTAGCGCACCAGATCTCAGACGTAGATGTTTCCAAGAATGTCAGCTTGTCGGTATGTGTTCCCAGTATGTGTTCAAGTATGTGTTCCCGCGGCCTCCCCGGCCCAGGAGGCGCAACCGCCGTACACCCGCCAGGGCGGGTTGGTGCTCCGTACCACGGCAGGCTGGGGCATAGTCCTCAAGGCCAGGTTGGGATCGCTGCAAACCTAATATTTGTTGCCCTCGCCGGTGGCCCCCCATGAACTTTGACACACTTCCAAATCGCTACCCCCTGGGGGCTGATGAATAGACCCCGCGGTGCGCGAAGCCTTGTTTCCAACCATCCTGTGGTGTTGGGTCCTCGATTTGCAAAGACGGCGCCCCGCGTTCTCCTCCTCCTCCTCCTCTCTTCCTCCTCCTCCTCCTCCTTCTCCCGCCTCCTGCCTTCTACCCCTCCTCCCTCCTCCCCCGCATGCGTCAGCCACCACCCAGCACAGCGTTGCGCGGCCCCATAGGGGGCTCCACCGACGGCCCCAGAGGCACCGCCCGCATGCGTGAGCCACCACCCAGAACAGCGCTTCGTGGACCGCCCGCATGCGTCACCCACCACCCAGCACAGCGCTTCGTGGCCCCAAAGGGAGCCCCACCGAAGGTTCCATTCGGACCGCCCGCATGCGTCAGCCACCTCCCAATACAGCGCTTCGTGGCCCCATAGGGATCTCCACCGAAGTTCCCAGTGGGACCGCCCGCATGCGTCAGCCACCACCCAGCACAGCGTTTCGTGGCCCCTTAAGGGGGCTCCACCAAAGGCACCGGGTGGCACCGCCCGCATGCGTCAGCCACCACCCAGTGCAGCGCTTCGTGGCCCCATAGGGGCTCCACCGATGGCCCCAGTGGCACCGCCCGCATGCGTCAGCCACCAACCAGTACAGCGTTTCGTGTTCCCATAGGGGGCTCCACCGACGGCCCCAGTGGACCGCCCGCATGCGTGAGCCACCACCCAGTACAGCGTTTCGTGGCCCCAAAGGGAGCCCCACCGAAGGTCCCATTCGGACCGCCCGCATGCGTCATCCACCACCCAGTACAGCGTCTCATGGCCCCATCGGGGGCTCCACCGAAGGCCCCGGTGGCACCGCCCGCATGCGTGTTGCCCCATCGGGGGCTCCACCGAAGGTCCCAGTGGCACCGCCCGCGTGCGTCAGCCACCACCCAGCACAGCGGAGGCCCCAGTGGCACCACCCGCATGCGTCAGCCACCAACCAGTACAGCGTTTCGTGGTCCCGTAGGGAACTCCACCGAAGGTCCCTTTCGGACCGCCCGCATGCGTCACCCACCACCCAGTACAGCGCTTCGTGGCCCCAAAGGGAGCCCCACCGAAGGTCCCATTCGGACCGCCCGCATGCGTCAGCCACCTCCCAATACAGCGCTTCGTGGCCCCATACAGGATCTCCACCGAAGGCCCCAGTGGCACCGCCCGCATGCGTGTTGCCTCATAGGGGGCTTCACCGAAGGTCCCAGTGGGACCGCCCGCGTGCGTCAGCCACCACCCAGCACAGCGCTTCGTGGCCCCATAGGGGGCTCCACCGAAGGCCCCAGTGGCACCACCCGCATGCGTCAGCCACCAACCAGTACAGCGTTTCGTGGTCCCATAGGGGGCTCCACCGAAGGTCCCAGTTGGACCACCCGCATGCGTCAGCCACCACCCAGTACAGCGTTTCGTGGCCCCGTAGGGAGTTCCACAGAAAGATCCCAGCGGCACCGCCCGCATGCGTTTCCCCCAGCAAGTACAGCGCTTCGTGGCCCCATAGTGGGTTCCAGACCAGTGGGTCGTTTCCAAGCGGCGGTGCCGCCACGCGGGGCCCTGGAAGTCATCGACAGGGCCGTCAAGGGTGGTGATATTGGGGTGGCGGATCCTTATCCTGGCCAGGGCCATGGCATCTCCCCGTAGTTCGTGGCCCCCTCCCCTCCTTCCAAACAATGCCAGAAGGGGGTCACAACTTGGGGCGGGCATCAGCTCCTCTTGCAAAAAAAATCGAGGAGGAGGAGGAAAAGGAGGAGGAGGAGGAGGAGGAGGTGGAGAAGGACGAGGAGGAGGAGGGAGGATCGAGGATCGAGGAGTTTGGTCGCCTCTGCAAGCCCTAGAGGGTTCTGGGGGGACCAGGTGGGTCCATTTCCTGGACGAGGTGGCGACCCCCCTAGTACGTAGTGACCCCTCCTGGCATTGCTGGGCTTTTCTTTGTCACAACGTTCCGTGATTTGTGCCCCCCCTTCCGGGACGCTTCTTGGGCGGGAGGAGGAAGGAGGAGGTGGAGTGGAGGAGGAGGGGGAGGGAGGACGAGGAGGAATATTAATAAGAATGTTAATAATTATAATGATATACAAAAAATGGAAGAGGAGGAGGGGGAGGAGGAGAAGGAGGAGGAGGAGGAGGAGGAGAGGACGAGTACGCCCAGGGCGCACACGCGGAGGGCCCACGCATTTATGTTTCAAGCCCGCGGGCGGCAAGTGGTCCCCGACAGTCCGGCGCTTGGTCGAGCAAGCGGTGGGCACAGAAGCAATGCGCACAGAAACAATGGCACAGAAGCAATGAGCACAGACCAATGGCAGTGCTTGTCCATTTGAGAAGGATTCGTTGCCGGCGTCGCCGGCGGACGCTGCCCATCTGATACACAAGGCAGCCTGCGCAACAGCGGCCGTTGTCGGTTTCGGACAACGCTTGCTGTAAGGCATCGAACCCATTTCTCCGCACACATGTCGAGTGTTCCAATCGTAGAGATGTTTCGCGTAGTGTCTCGAGAGCGGTTCCCGTGCAGGAGGAGACCTAGGCTGCTCGATGGTGTGGTCCACGCCCCCTAGGCCTCCCAGATGGGGTGTGTAAGCAGATGGGCCCGGAGGATCGCCCCACATCGCCGATGCATCGTTGATGCGGCTCGATGCGGAGCTCGAGTGTCTCCACGCTGACGGCGCCGATGCATCGGCGACGCAGCAGCGATGCAGTGCGATCCTCCAGCCTTGCTTGCGCTGACCCCGCTTGGGAGGCCCCCAGCTCGAGGGCCCCGCCGCTCCCCCTCACGCCAGGAAGAGCGGGGCCCGTCGCCCGCGGGACTCGCCCCGCGGGGGGGGGGGAAGGGGCAGAGGTCATGGGCGACGCGATCGTCGAGACCGAGCCGCTGGGCGACGTGCTGAGCGACGGCGCGCTCTCGGCGATCGAGTCGGAGGACGCAGAGGGGGGCGGGAGCGGGCGGCCATCATCTCAGGGGCAACGTGAGGGGACGAAAGGCTCGGGGGGGGATTCCACGTCGATGCTTCCCCCACTTCGGGTCGATCCCACGTCGACGTTTCCCCCCCTGAGCTGGTCACCCCCAGACGTTGCCCTTCAGCATCGCCTAGCCGATCCCCAGCCCCACCAGGCCATGGTTTCTCCCGCCCCACCCCGATCAAGTGGGGCTGCTGGGCCGGGGGAAGCCCGAGGGGAACAGCACATATGTCCCCCACCTGGGGGGGGCGAGTCAGCCAGCGGGGCCAAGGCCAAATGCAGTCGGGACGGGGATGCCTTGAGCGATGCTCAGGGTCTTATTCCCACAGCTGGCGCTGGTACACCTGCTCAGTTTTCAAGCGGCCCGGGGCGAGCTCGGACGGCCTCGGGGATAGCCCTGGGAACAACTTCGGATGGCCGTGGACGCCGTCGGCATTCTCGGATTCCATCGATCGTCGGGCGGTGAGGCAGGTGTCTTCAGATCGCCTCGATTGCCTCGAATGTCATCGGGTAGCCTCGGTAGCCTCGATTACGGTGTCCTGGTGGCCTCGCACAGCCTCGACAGCTTCGGAGCTCCTTAGGCCATGTGGGCAGAGAATTTCACACGGAGTTCCGACGCAAGGGCTTTCTCGGCAAGTTCGGCTCAAGTCGTGGTGTCATGCCAGCCACGATGTCACCAGAGTCACGTTTCATATGTTTGTCTTTGGTGTTCTTATTGCAACGCGGCGCGGCATTGAGTATTCAGGACTTCGGCTCGCAGAAGAAGATTGATGAGGGCTCCCTTCAATTTGTTTATTTGGTTGGAGTTGAAGGGTCGAATCACCATGGTGTGATGGCAGAGCTCTTGGCGCCTCTGAGTCTCTCACAGCGCTGTGAACTTGAGTCGGTCAAGCTTGGGAAGAACATGACATCGTGCATCGAATGGCCTTCGGCCCATTCCGCCACCGTGCCTGGTCGGAGACCTTTGGCGTCTTAGGCGGACGATATGACCCGAGTGGTACCAATCGTGACCGGATCTTGGAACCAGAAGCCATTTAAATGTGTTTTGAGGGTCTCTGCGCAAGTTCTTGGAGGTTTGTTTGGATCCCCTCGGGGGTCTCTTGGGTGCCTCCTGGCAACTGACAGGGCTGCGCTCCAAAATCCGGTGCATTAGCATTAGCGGAACGGCGCTCTGCTAGTAGGAATCAAGCAATTTGGTACGAATGATGCGAGGCCCGTCTGCAGAGCGGCGCTCCGCTAATGTGAGCCCGGCAATCCGGGGCACATGGGTTGAAACCAATCAACCGCGGTAGGCTTTTAATAAGACCCACCCCCAATACATAGTGGTCAAATGTTGGAATGTCTTGGGGCCTGATTGGAGGGTTGCCGACACCCAGCAGGAATCTGCAAACAGTTGTTCTTCTGCACCTCATTGCCAAGCGTTGCCAAGCCAGAGTTTTTTTGGGGGGGCACGTGCCGCGTTACAGGCCTCTCGCGGTCAGCGGAGGGGCGTTCCACGCACGGAAGACCAGGAACGCGCCCCTTGAAAAAACACATGCTTCAGGATTCAGAACAGAGAATTGAACATGGACTTGAGGACACTCCTGCTCGCGCCTCGCGGCCCGGTGGCGGATAAGACCAGATGGTCGAACGGGAGAGTTCCACACGTTTATCGGGGGAGAGGTGTGTAGCGAAATTTCTACACCAGCCGCGATTCGGAGCAGCATGACCATTGGATGCAAAATCTGTGCCAGAGACGCCATGGTTCGGAAAGCACTCTTTCGCAGGCAAATCAAAGTAGATGACTTGGTGTCATATGGGTCAAGGTGTGGAGGCACCATCCTCGAAGATATGTCGTTCCCAACTGAGGGGCATCGTACCCCTCCTGGGCCCATCAATTTATTGACTATGTTTAAGGAGCTGTCTCCTCGAATGGATACTCGACTAGTTGTGCTTCAGCGCAATTTCTATGACACGGTTATGTCGCACCCGTCTTGGGATGGAGGTGTGAATGGGCATGCAGGGGTGATGGCTAATTACTTGGCATATATTTCAAACACACTCAAAGATTTGCCGTCACATGCGTGGAGGATTTTGCCTGTCGATTGTATACACACGAACAAGCATGGATTGCAGATAAGCTTGGCGCGGTTCTTGGGTTTTGAGACCGAGGTCTGCGGCCATTGTTGGGAGCATTGGCGCGATCCTTCGAGCCACGAACATGAAAGCCGCATGTGGATGGTCGACAATGCGTTTACAAGAAATAGAAACCGTTTCGATGTCCTGGACCCTGCCAACGCCAACTCGATGCTGAGCCAATACTTAGTTAACCCAGCAACTTGTAAACTCGAGGATCCGATATCGACGCCGATGTGATTCCTATTGTGTTGATGCGGCCCGGTTGAATATGCAGAACTTCCCTGTCTCATCGCCGAGTCATATACACCAGGCATCTGTATAGTGCTGCCTAGCCGGCGCGCGTTTGGCGCTTCGGCTTTTTCGAATTGGTTGCAGTTTCTTACGTTCGATCATCAAATAGCTTGGTGCAGAACCCAGCCACATGCAGTTACGAGCACCGCAAGCCAGGTAGAAAGTAAGGGAAAGGGCCAGCAAAAGGACGAAGGCGTGCGTGGGAAGGACGGGACGACGTTGCTGATGGGGTCGCAGAGGTCGACCGTAACGGTCCACATTTGGATGTAGCTTGTTATGGTTGATCTGCGCGTCTGTCGCCGCGGCTCAGGGGGGCAGCATGCGGCGAGGCCTTAGGTGGAGCTTCCTATGGGGCATCGGAACGTGTGAAGGGTGCGCCGAAATCACATGGACCGGGCATGCGGGCCATGGGGCCACGCAGCTGTGATAGGGGTTCGCCAACATAGCGTGGACCAGGCATGCGGATCCAGATTTCGGGGCCGTAGGTGGAACTCCATATGGGGCCGCTAAATGTGCGAGGGTGTGCCGAAATCGCGTGGACCAATCATGCGGGCCCAGCTTCGTGGGCCTTAGGTGGGGCTCCCTATGGGGCCAAGCGTGTGAGGGGTGCGCCGAAATGACGTGGACCAGGCATGCGGACCAAGATGTGTTGACCTTGGGTGGAACTCCGTATGGGACCACAAAGCGTGTGAGAGGTTCGCCGAAAAGGCGTGGACCAGATCTGCAGACTCAGATGTTTGGGCCTTTGGCGGGGCTCCCTGTGGGGCCACGAAGCGTTTGAGGGGTGCGCCATAATTGCGTTGACCAGGCATGCGGACACAGAGTTCTGGGCTTTAGATAGAGCTCCTCATGGGGCCACGAAAACGTGCGAGGGGTGCGCCAGAACGGCGTGGACCAGACATGCTGACCCAGAGTTTGGGATATTGTGCAGCTCCTTGTGGGGCCACGAAGCGTGTGAAGGTGCGCCGACACGGCGTGGACCAGGCATACTGATTCAGAGTTTTGGATGTTGTGTGGAGCTCCCTATGGGGCCACGAAGCGTGTGAGCGGTGCGCCGAAATGGCGTAGACCAGGTATGATGACACAACGTGTTTGGCATTACGTGGAGCTCCAGAAGGGGGCACGACAACAGTTTGAGGGGTGCGCCGAAATGGCGTGGGCCAGGAATGCGGACCAATATTGTTAGGCATCAGGTGAAGCTCTTTATGGGGCCACCCAACGTGTAAGGCGTGTGCTGGCATGGGCATGCGGAGGGCTGCGGTAGGGATGGGTGGAGGGAGGGAGGAGAACAGAAGGAGGACGCAGGGCGATGCGTATTCAAACCGAGAAACCAATTCAACCCAGTTTTTTTGGAACCTATACAGACAACTGCACGTAAGGATTTGTTTGTCCACGCGCTTCGTTAACCTAGCTGCCCAAGCGCTTCGTCAAATGGACGGTCGCGCCCAAATGGCTTCAGGGGGGAGAGGAAGGGGAGAGGTGGAAGAGGAGGGAGGATCATTTTTTTCAGGGCAAGAAAACAACAAATATGATTTATTGTCAAAAAGAAACCGAAAGACAAAGCAGGGGATAGCTGAAGGCGGAAGGGAGGAGATTGGAGAAGGGGAGGGGAGAAGGGAAGGCAACCAGGGCGGGGACAGGCAGGAGGGGCAGAAGTTTCGTGCAGCGGAGGGGTGTGCTCCTGAGGATTCCGGAACCGGCGACGAGGAGACCATCTCCGTGTTCGACGCCAGTGAGGCTGTTGGGGTTTGGAAACGCGCCAGTGACTAGGGGGACGAACAATGACACAAACATAAAACAACTCAGAGGTCCGCGCGGATTTCGCTGGACCCCCTCCCTAGCGCGCGAAGCGCGCCAGGGGCGGCGACGGAGGCGCCGACAGGGGTCTCCAGCGCCGATCCGAGGAATCCGCGCGGGCCTCCGAGCCCTTATGTTCATGCCATTGTTCGATCCCCGAGTGACAGCCAATGATCGTTCCACGAAGGTCGGAAGACGGTTCCGGAGAAGAGGCGATGGAGGTGGGCCTCCGAGGAGCAAGCGGCAGCAGGGCGTCCATCGGGGGCGCTCTGCGGCCGGCGGGTTGCACACACCCTTAGCCTCCTCGGGCTGCGGCGCCCGCTTCCTCCCCCCCGCGGCCGCCCCCTGTCCCTCCTCGCGTGCCTGCGTCCGAACCCAGACGTGCGACGTCCTGCTGTTCTCCGTAAGGCTATGGACGACGATCAATGGAGAGGAAGCACATTGCCGAAGAAATCCTAGATGTCTAAAACATGTCCAAACATGTTTTGAACATATGTTTAAAACATGTTTTGAATATTTCCAGAGCATTTACAAACATGTTGAACACATCTTGATTTCAGTGATAAGATTGTTAGGGTGTCCATTGCCATGGCATCCACAACCATACGGGGCCCCTGGAGGTCATGACCCTTTCCCCGGGACCGGTTCTTCATTCTGCGTCGCGGTTTGGCCGCTCCCGAAGCCCGGCGAGGGCCCCTCGAGGTCAAAATGGGCCAAAGACCTCCGGTCCTATTCTTTTATTTTTCCTCCAAAATCTGGCTGTAGGGGGACAGGCCCGACGTAACAATTGGCTCGAACCGCCGCGCGACCGCCGCGCGCGCCGCGGCAAAGAACGTAACTCGGGAGGAGGAAACTTCAACAGACACAAGTAAATCGTCGAGCCCCAGGAAACTAAGGGGACATAGGGGAAGTGGGGGGGGAAGACGAAGCTCCAGAAAATCTGGAAAAAGAGTATCGGGGGCGGCAAAAAGGGCGTGAGGACTAGGGTGGGGTGGATATCATGGCGGGGGCCATGATATCTCCCCAGGTTTCATGGCGCCTCTTCCTATTTCAATGCGTCCCTGGCCCCCCCCCCCTGGGCCGCACACGTGCCGCCGGCCATGATTTGCGCCCCCCCCTTTCTTGGACGCCCCCCTCTTGGCCGCCCCCGAGAATAGGGGGAATCGTGGGATCTGTGTGTACTTCTTGGTGTGTCCTTGGGCCCCTGTAGCTGGTGTGCCTCGCTGCCCCGCTGCCTGGCCGCCCGAGGAAGTGCGGTGGCTTTCGCGGGCTCTCCCTGCCCCCGTCCATCCCCCCGCCTCCAAGCGGGGGTGCCCAAGAGGGAGGTGATGACTGCCCATCGGTCCTTGAAAGATGGTATTTTTAGAATCCCAGGTTCCAATCTACTGTACGCGCCTTCCCACTTCAAGGATCGAGTGGCTTCCCCTCTTCCCTCCTCCCCAGGGGGCCATTGTAACTGGTGTGCCTCGCTGCTGCCCCGCTGTCCCCGGCAGGCTGGGGGGGGGGGGCCTCTGCGTACGCTCGGCTTCCCGAGGCGTGTGTGGTGGCGTTCGCGGGCCCTCCCTGCCCTTTTCCGCCCCCCCCGGTCCCCAGTCGGGGGCGCCCAGGAGGGGGGTGACGACTAGGGGGGGTGGATTCGAAGAAAACAAGCACCATGAACATACACTGGAAAACAAGCACCATGAACATACACTGCTGGCGCACCGCGCGGATTTCTTGGATCTGCGCTGGGCCCCCCCGGCGGCGCCTCCAGCGCCGCCTTTGGCGCGCTCCGCGCGCCAGGGAGAGGGGTCCAGCGCATTCCCAAGAAATCCGCGCGGACCGTTCCCCCCGTCCCCAATCGGGGGCGCCCAGGAGGGGGGTGATGATTGCCCATCGGTCGTTGAAAGTCGGTATATTTGGAATCCCGGGTTCCAATCTTTTTAAAGTGCCTTCCTATTTCAATGATCGAGTGGCTTCTCCTCTTCCCTCCTCTTCAGGGGGCGGGCGGAGGCCCAATCTTCTGGCAACGCCTTCCTACTTCGGGGGGCGCCCAGGAGGGGGGGGTATGTTTAGGGTTACGTCGGGCGTGTCCCTCTACAGGAGGAATATATTCAAAGATAGTGAAGAATGCCCTGGAGACGATTTTTCATTATTTTTGAACATGGTCCAGTCTTTTGTTGGCTATTTTCCATTGTACGTCCACATTCCGCCTGTAGGAGGCAATGCTCGACCTCAGACTAGGTGGGGGGATATCATGGCGGGGGCAATGATATCTCCCTAGATTTCATAGCGCCTCTTCTTATCTCGTTACGTCCCTGGCCCCCCCTTGGGCTGCGCACGCGCCGCCGGCCATGATTTGCGCCCCCCCCCTCTTGGACGCCCCCCTCTTGGCCGCCCTCGATCCAAGAAGTTGCGCTGGAAGAAAAACAAGGACGCGGCCAGGGGGCGAAGAGGGCACAACGCACCCACAAAGGAGACTGCCGGCACGGTGAGCAGGTGGCCGGCGACAAGCGGCGAGTGGTTCACCAAAGCGCGACCGACCAGAGAGGCGGGTTTCGGGCGTTCGTGGAGTGGCATTGCGCAGGAGCCTTCACACCTATGCGAGAGGCCCCTTCATAGCGGCACTTGGCAAGAGGTAGTGCCGCTTCGCCCAGGGAGGCAAGCCTGAGCCCTGGCTACAGATGGAGGGCGTGGCTGCGCCCACGCCTGAAGTGACCGTCTCCTCCCGCGCATCCTCCCCCCCCCCCTCGAGCGACATGCGGTACCACCCAACCTATGCAGAGTCATTGGTACCCCCGCCGGGCCCGAGGGGGCTTCGCTGGTCTGGCAGCGAAACGGCTTGAGAGTCGGCGGCGAGCGAGGAGGGGAAGTGAGAAGGGGGGGGGCTTCTCAGATGGCTCGGAAGTCCACTGGCCCGCTGAGAAGTTGTTGGAAGCCTCCCCAGAAGACACCAGAAACTTCCCAGAAGGCGCGAGGGCTTCTGAGAAGTCCCGCCGCCTTCTGAGAAGGATTTCTCCTTCTCATTCCTCCCTCCCCCTGGCTCGCCGACGATTGAGAGTTTGGCTGGGTGTCAGGCCGCCTCGCTCGCTCAGGGAGCCGATGCGGTTCGCGCCAGCCCTGCTCCAACCTGGCCGTACCCCGTAAGCTGCAGCGTGGCTGGGAAACAGGGTTCGGGAGCCTTGAGACGGGAGTCAATGCAGGATCTTGCAGGATCCTGCAGGGCCAGGGTCGCATTTCGGAAGCCGGGCAAGGGCTGCTAAACCCGTTGCTGCTAAAATCGACCTCCGGGAAGTTGTCTTCGTCCTTCCGGGAAGAAGCCCGTTGATTGTTTCGCGTGCCGCGCCCTATTCCAGGAGGTTGTTTCAACCTTGCGGGAGGGCCGTTTTGGCAGTCCCGGTTTTAGCAGCCCTCGCCCGGACCCTGGTCGGGTGCAGGATCCTGCAGGCTCCTGCAAGGCCCGACTCTGCAGGATCTTCAAGGCCCGACTGACCCGGGTCTGGATTGACCCGGGTCAGCAGATCCTCGAAGGGTCTCGGCCTTTCAGGGAGTCCCGCCTCAGCTGGTGCTCGTCTAGGAGGGGGCTGCCGAAGGGGGCAGTTCGCTCCTAATCGGCGTCACCCCAACGTACTAATACTATGTGTGCGTCGCCCTTCCCAGGGGCGACGCGCGCACCGCGAAGTGTTATAGCATATGCATCGTGGCGGGCGATTTGTGGCCACACCGCTCGGGAAACGACATACTGCAAGATGGGTAGACTATGTTTGGGTCGGACGCGCGCCTTCAAGGAGGACATCTAGTATTAGTATGTCTCTGTGCGTCCCACCTAAAGGGGAGCGCATCGAGTTAACTTTGACGCTTCGGGCAGAATGGATGGATACGACGTCCTCCCCCCAGGGTTAGGGGTCACCTTGTCTGGAGGCCAGTAGGAGCTCACTTCTGGGGCTCCTGGAGGTTGCTTGCTCGCGTGCTCCTCCTCTTCGCGGGTCGGGATGAGAGAGGGGGTGCGAAATCAGTTGCGCGCAGCTGTTTGCGACGCCCGCCTTCCTCGAGTTACGTGGGCGCCTTTGGCGCTGGGAGGCGCCAGGGAAAGCAGCTACGCGAGCTTATTCGCGAAACACCCCCTTCACTACAGTGGGGGCCCATGCCAGGAAACACCCTGCTCGCCTCCAGGGTGCCCTGGGTTGCTTGGGTGTTGCTGGTTTTGCCATGAAGCGCGTGACTTTCCCACACCAACAATCGATGGACGTCCTGGGGTCTCGGGGCTGGGTTTCCTGTGGAAGGTTTCTTGCGATCGGGCCCCCACTATCATCTCCCCCCTTCGACCGACTCGATCCTCCTCCTCACGGCGGCGATCCCGCCCCCGGGCGGGGTCGGCGCGAACCCCCCCTCTGAGGCCGACACGCCTGGCCTCAGGCCCGACGTGCTGGGGGGCTCGTCGCGGCAGCCGCGGGCGTCCACGCCGGACAGGGGCGCCGCGGACCTCTGGAGCGGCCGGGGTGGCGGGGCGTCTTGCTCGAGACAGGGATCTACCCCCAGACTTGATCGCGTCGTCACAAAAATCAGGACGGGAGGTTTTTGGCCATTTTCGGCCTCGGGGGGCCCTCGCCGTGCCTCAGGACCGTCAAAAGTCGACTCAGGATGAAAAACCGGTCCCGGGGAACAGGTCGGAATTTCCAGGGACCCCGTCCTGAAAAAATCAGGACGTCGCATGTCTGGGCCTTGGAGCCGTCTGGGGGTCTGATGTGGCCCAGCACTGGTTCCGGCCAGCAGGGAGGGCGGGCAGGTGCGAGGTGTTGGACATTCGGATATTCGGGAAGGCTGTTGACGCCTTCTTCGGCATCCGGTGGTTGCTTTCGGGGCCCCTGGACCGTGAGAAACTGGTCTGGGATGAAAAGCTGTACGTACGAGACGGAGTCTGGGAGGCGTTCAGGGACGGATTCTGAGTGGATTTGATGCCATCACCCCTTCTGACCGCTTCCCTGGGGCCCTAACCAGTCAAGAGCCCCCAGCGGAAGCCAAGGTTGACGCACAACTCGGCGCCTCGGCGAGGGGGAAAGGCAGTGACACAGGGAGGAAGAGAGAGAAAGAGAGAGCGGGCGGGCCTTCTCGGAGGGCTCAGGAGGGCCGAGGCCTTGCGAGAGGCTTGCAAGCTTCCTCCGCAGCCCCGCCGGCTTCCGCGAGAGGGCCTGCCCTCTCTCCCATGCCCCCTCGCGGCGCGCCGCCGATCCGTGTGGCCACCGCCCGAGGGATCGATCGCCGGGGGCCTCGGCAGGCGGTGGACATGGACACGTGGAGCGTTCCAGGCAGGGCCCAGCCTTCGAGGATCGAAGGATTTGTCATCTCCTTCCGCGGCGGAAGGGCGGCGGAAGTAAAACACGTGCCCCCAAGAGATGAAAACGTTTTTGGGTTCAGAGTTTCCGAAATCGCCCGCGTGTGCCCCCCCGCAGGGCCCGAGTGCATCCATATCCACCGCCTCCGTCACGAGCAGACCGAGACGGCAGGTGTGTTCGTCCCGGAGCCCGATTCTCGGGCCAACAGGACTGGGCCTGGAGGGAGAGCCCCGTCGCATCAGGGGAACAAACTGGTCCTGGGGAATGGTCCGAGACATCCGTTGGCCCACGTGGCGAAACAGGCGTAGCGTAGAAGGTCTGAGAGAGATTTAGTCGTTCTCGGAAAGGATAGGGCAGGTTTGTTGTTTCCGTGTTCGTGCTGCAGTTGTTTCCCAGTTCCGGTGCCGGTTTTATACGTTTCCGCTTCTGTTTTTGTTCCAGTGATGGTCCCAGTCATGAAGCAGTTTAGTGAACATTCGTTTTTGCTTCGGTTCTGGTCCAGTGAAGTGTTTTTGGCTCATTTCTTTGTCAAGAGCAAGGGCTTCGGACACAGTACAGCAACCCCGCCGCTCCCAAGAACCACGAAGGAGAGGGACGATGGGGTCGGACGGGGCTAGGACGAGGATAAATTAGTTCCAGAGCGTCCCAGAACCCTTTCAGAGTGTCCCAGAACGCTCTGAGAAGGCCGCGGCGCCCGAGACATCCTCCAGAGCCGCCGAATCGCAGAGATTCTCGAATTAACCTTACCCGATGTTATCCTCGTCTTGGTTTCGTCTTGTGTGGAGGATGCAGAGGAGGTCCTCCGTCCTCTTCCTCCTCTTTCGCTTGCGGTGGGCTCTTGTGGCCCGCGATGGCCTCTTCGTCATGTGGCATGGGCGCAGGTGGCGCGGCACCTCATAGCACTCGCTGTCTGCAAAGCGTTTGTATTAGTTATTCCTGGGCGATGAATCGGCGGCGCGCCTAGGGGGAAGTGAGAGGGGGCGGGCCTTCTTGGAAGGCTCGGGAGGCCCTCGGCCTTCTGAGAAGTTCCCACCCATCCTGTGGTGTTGGGTCCTCCTCCTCCTCCTCCTCCTCCTCCTCCTCCTCCTCGCCCTCCTCCTCCTCCTCCTCCTCCTCTTCCTCCTCCTACCTTCTCCTCCTACCTTCTCTCATCTCCTCCTTCCTCCTCCCTCCTCATTCCTCCACCTCGTCCTATCCTATCCTTGTCTCTGCCCCCCGCACCTAGTTCGGCGTTCCGTGGCCCCATCGAGAGCTCCACCAAAGGCCCCAGTGACTGTGTTCACATGGGATGTGCCACATGCGTCCCCGTAGGACCCCAGGACGCATGTGACACATGCGTCCCGCGCCACGCAGTACGGCCTTGCGTGGCCCTACAGGGAGCTCCACCGACGGCACCAGTGGCTGTGCTCACATGCGTCCCGCGACACCCAGTACGGCGCGTCGTGGCCCCATAGGGGGCTCCACCGAAGGCCCCAGGGGCTGTGTTCACATGCGTCCCGCACCATCCAGTACGGCCTTGCGTGGCCCCACAGGGAGCTCCACCGGAGGCACCAGTGGCTGTGTTCGCATGCGTCCCGCGACACCCAGTACGGCGTTTCGCGGCCCCATAGGGAGCTCCACCGGAGGCTTCAGTGGTTGTGTTCACATGCGTCCCGCGCCTCCCAGCACCCAGTACGGCGTTTCGTGGCCCCATGGGGAGCTCCACCGACGGAAAACCCCAGGGGTTGTGTTCACATGCGTCCCGCACCTCCTTGTACGGCGCATCGTGGCCCCATAGGGGGCTCCTCCGAAGGCCCCAGGGGTTCTGTTCGCATGCGTCCCGCACCACCCAGTACGACGTTTCGCGGCCCCATAGGAACCTCCACCGGAGGCCCCATTGGCTGTGTTCACATGCGTCCCGCGCCATCCAGTACGGCGCTTCGTGGCCCCATAGGGGGCTCCACCGAAGGCCCCAGGGGCTGTGTTCACATGCGTCCCGCACCATCCACTACGGCCTTGCGTGGCCCCACATGGAGCTCCACCGAAGGCACCAGTGGCTGTGTTCGCATGCGTCCCGCACCACCCAGTACGGCGTTTCGCGGCCCCATAGGGAGCTCGACCGAAGGAACCAGCGGCTGTGTTCACATGCGTCCCGTAACTCCCAGTAATTCTTCACGCTTCACGTATCCCCACCAGTCCGCAGCCTTCAGGCTCAAGCCACGTCGGCTCGAGCCCGCCCCTGACTCAGGTCGGCGCGCGCTCGGGCCCGCGCGCGATGGAGACGCCTGCCGCTCGGCGCCGCCGGCAGAGGGCCGCGGCCGCCGCTCGCGCCGCCAGCCCCTCCGCTGCCGGCGCCGCAGCCGCGCGCGGTCTGCCGCGGGCCTCGGCGCAGGGCGGGCCCGCCGCGGCCTCCGCCGTGGCCGCTGCCGCGGACGCTGACGTGCGGGCCGCCGCGGCCCCCGGCGCCGCGGGCGCCGCGAGCGCCGTGGCCGTGGCCGCGGCCGCTGGCGCCGCGGTCGCCGACGGTGTGCCGGTGCCGTGACCGCCGGTGCCGTGGCCGCCGCCGGCGCCGCCGGCGCTGCGGTGGCCGCGGGCGCCTCTGCATGGTGCTGCTGGCGCCGCTGCTGCTGCTGCCGCTGGCGCGGTGCGCGCTGCGGCCGCCGCGGGCGCCGCTGGCGCCGCCGGCGCCGCGCGCGCCAGGGACCGCGCGGGCGCCGCCGCGCACGCTGCCGGCACCTGGTGCGCCGCGGGCGCTGCCGCCGCTCGCGCCGCCGCGGCGGCTGCCGCAGGCCTGTGGGCCGCGGCGGCCGCCCTCTCCCGCGCGGCGGCCGCCGCCGCCGCTGCGGTGACGGTGCCGGGCGGGCCGACTGGCCTGGCGACGGTTGCCAGTCCGACGGCCAGCCCTACGGCCAGCCCGACTGCCAGCCCTACGGCCAGCCCCACGGCCTTCCCCACGGCGAGCCCCACTGCCAGCCCCACGGCCAGCCCGACGGCCAGCCCCACGGCCAGCCCGACTGCCAGCCTGACGGCCTGCCCTGCGGCAAGCCCGACGGCCAGCCCCGCGGCCTGCCCGGCAGTCAGCCCCGCGGTCAACCCGACTGCCAGCCCCGCTGCCTTCCCGACGGCCAGCCCCACGGCCAGCCCGACTGCCGGCCTGACGGCCGTCCTCCTTCGACACTCTCTTGGAACCGCCTGGCTTGCGCGGCTGTCCAACAAAGCTGCACGGCGGCATGACCACGACGCAGACCCAGCGCACCGACGGGTGGGCTGGCGCCCCGCCTACGCAGGGCGTTTCCCCTGATATTGATTTTTCTCCTCCCTCCCTGCCCATGATTCCTCGAGACGCGACGATTAGTCGCCTTCGCCGGGGAGGTTGCGCAATGAGTCGTCTCCGCCAGAAGATCGTCGCGAATCGCAGTGTGTGTGTGTGTGTGTGTGTGCGTGGGGGGGGGGGGCAGGAAGAAGTCGGGGAGGACCTTGCTGAGCGCCCCGCACAACCCACTGGCAACGCGACCTCTTGGCACACCCGACCGCCTCGGATTCCTACGGGCTCTGCGACGGTCAGTCGCCGCCACCGGGGAGAATGCGATGGCGGTCGCGAGTCGCAGGGTGAGGGGCAGGGAGAAGACAGAGAGGATTTTGCCGACCGTCCAATGCAACCCGCTGGCAACACGACCCCTGGGAACACCAGGCCGCCTCGGATTCCAACAGACTCTGCGACGGTCGTTCACCTACGCCGGGACGATTGCGGAATTGGTCGCGAGCCACAGGAGAAGGGGCAGGGAGAAGACAGAGAGGACCCTGCCGACCGTCCAACACAACCTACTGACAACACGACCTCTGGGAACACCCAGCCGCCTCGGATTCCAATCGCCTCTGCGACGGTCTTTCGCTTCCACCGGGAAGAGTGTGAAGATAGTCGCGAGTCGCAGGGTGAGGGGCAGGGAGAAGACAGAGAGAACCTTGCTGACCGTCCAACGCAACCCACCCGCGACGCGACCCCTGGGAACACCCAGCCGCCTCGGATTAACAACGGGTTCTGCGATGGTTAGTCACCCACACCGGGGAGAGCGCGGAATGGGTCGCGAGCCACAGGGGAAGGGGTAGGGAGAAGACAGAGAGGACCTTGCCGACCGTCCAACACAACCCACTGGCGACACGACCCCTGGGAACACCCAGCCGCCTCGGATCCCAGCTGACTCTGCGACGGTCAGTCGCCTCCACTGGGATGAGTGTGAAGATAGCCGCGAGTCGCAGGAGGAAGGGGGCACCCCTCCAGACGCCCAACCTGACGCCCTACCCAGCACTCTACCTGAGGCCTTGCCCGACGCCCAATCCCACGGCCAGCCCGACGGCCAACCCGACGGCCTGCCCGACAGTGAAGCCACCTTCCAGGCGGCACTGGGAAGTTCCACTGCGCCCACGCGTCAGCTTTCCCCTGACGAGCGGGGCAACGAAGCCATCCTTCAGCTGGTTTCGAGGAGCCCCTACGCCCCAATTTGCCCCCCCCCCCCCCCCCCCCTTGCCGGCGACTCGATGCGGACGGACGCTTCGACTAGCAGCCGCGGGGCAACCCCAGCATCCCTGCGCAGCTCGCCAGACCCCCCCCTCTCGGGCGGGGACGTGAGTGCGACCGCCGAGAAGGGCCGGCCGCCCAAGTTGGGGGCATCCTCGACGCGTCGGACGGGAAGTGGGTGGATGCCCAGGCCTTTCGCCGATCGCCAGCATCCAGGACCACGGGGCTCCCACACTGGAAGGCTGTTCTATAAAGCCCGGGTCCACGACTCCCAGTGGGAGCCCCGCGGAGTGTCACCAAACGAGACGATCAGGCACCTTCAGGTCACCATGGGTGCGTCGTTCACAGCCGTCTGGCACGCCTTTGCCGAGCATCACGCCGCCCCTGGCACCGCGCGCGCTGTCGACCCGCGTCGGCGCGATCAGCGAACCTGCGTCGCCTTCCTGACCTCATTTCACAGCCACAGCTGCGATGCTCGGGCCATGAGCGACTTATTGGGCCTGGGCATCGAGTGGGCGCAACTGCGTGGACAACGCTTGGGGCGCCACGTCGGCGCGAACAGGGGGCGCCAGGCACCGTCGGGGTCTCGCGGGCGCCGACGCTGGCCGTTCGCTGTAGGATGGGAGTGTTCTCGTGCGAGGTCGGGCCCTTGACGTCGGAGGCGCGGCCGTCTGCCTCTACCCCCGCGTCGACGGCGTCTGCGCGCCGTCAGCGTCCTACCATAATCAGAGCGCCTTGCGTGCGCGTCCGTGTACACAGGGTTATCGTAAGCTCTCCCCCCTCCTCTCACTCCGCGTGCCTGGCGTGGACTTCCCTCCCTCCCCTCATGCATCGCAACAGACTCTGCGATGGTCATTCACCTACGCCGGGAAGATTGCGAAATGGGCCGCGAGCCACAGGGAAAATGGCAGGATGAAGACAGAGAGGACCTTGCCGACCGTCCACCACAACCCACTGGCAACACGACCTCTGAGAACACCCAGCCGCTTCGGATTCCGATAGCTTCTGCGACGGCCAGTCGCTACCACCGGGAAGAGTGCGAAGATAGTCGCGAGTCGCAGGGTGAGGGGCAGAGAGAAGACAGGGGTATCCTTGACGACCATCCAACACAACCCACTGGCAACTAGACCCCTGGGAACACCCAGCCGCCTCGGATTCCAAGGGATTCTGCGACGGTTAGTCACCTACACCGGGAAGAGTGCGCAATGTGTCACGAGCCGCAGGAAAAGGGACCGGGAAAAGACAGGACCTTGCCGACCGTCCAACGCAACCCACTGGCGACACGACCCCTGGAAACACCCAGCCGCCTCGGATTCCAACTCACACTGCGACGGTCAGTCGCCTCCACTGGGAAGAGTGCGAAGCTAGTCGCGAGTCGCAGGAGGAAGGGGGGCCCTCCGTTGGGGAGGAGCTTAGATGGCACTGTCAGGGTTGGCATAGCCACGGTTGGCACAGTCATGGTTGGCATAGTCAGCGCCGTCAGAAGTGGCACAGCCACGATTGGCACAGTCAGCAACAACTGCTCGAGAACATGTTCTACAAGTCTCCTCCTCTCCTCTCACACCGTGTGCCTGGCGTGCACTTCCTTTCCCCCCCTCCTGCATCCGGATGCTGCAGCGGTCAGCTGCCACGCAGGGGTGCCTACTTTGCCTGGCGCGCACTTCCCCTCCTCTCCTTTGTTCCACCGGGTTTATCCCACGCGGCTGGGGTTCCCGCCAATACCGCTGTCGGATGGTGCTCTGACAGCCTGAATTCCCGGCAAGGATCACAGTGGGAATGAGCGGTCAGGTGGCCTCTGGCCTGCTCCTGGCTGGTGTCGGCCTCCACTGGTTACGAGCTCCATGCAAGGTGCACAGGGGGAATGGCTGAGGTCGGCCTCCACTGGTGACCGAACGGGGTCAGTGGGGTTTGCTACGCTGCCGACTTCCACGGTGCAAGGACTTCGGCATGTGTGGTTATGTGCGCCCGTCGGCTGTTTGCTCCTGCAACGACTTCGCTTTCGACATGTGTCACTGCTGTACAAACAAGAAGTATTGCCGTTCGCAGTCCGATTTGTGACGAGGTTGTCCCTCTTCACTTTTGCGCTGACGCGATGCAGTTGTGTCGCCTACGGCACGGACGTCGTCCGGGTGTGCCTGTGAGTGTTGCTCGTGCCTTGTGCCGACTCACACCGAGTGATTGACTTCTGCGTGTTTATAGTCGCGCCGCCGCGCCATGTTGGTTGCGTTTATTTGCTGGTCGCCACCGGGATCTCCACGCCACCGGTTTGGGAGTTTCGTTTCTGGCTCTTCTTCAGAGTGGCTGCCCGCGCGCTCGCTTCGCTTGCCTTTCTTTTCTTGCTGCCTAGTCGCGGCCCGACTAGTGTTCGGACGGCTTTCGGCCTGCTTCGCGAGCTCGCAGACCAAAAAAAGTAGCCCCACCAGCGCCAGAATTCCCCACCATTTTGGCGATGCACCCCGCCTGGCAGTTCCACAGTCGACGGCGCCCTCTCCTGAGCGGCAGCGAGGCCCGCGTCCTGTCAGTTCCTCCTCCGCTGTCCTGTTGTCGCCTGTTTTTTCATCTCTTCGCCCTCCTCCCGGTGCGCAATTCGTTCGTAGCCCATTGCTGCGACTTTGACGGCGTCCGGCACCTCCAGCGCGCTCGCGATCAAAAAAGTATCCCCACCAGCCCATCCGGAAACCTTGCCCACGAGAGCTGACGGGAAAACGGACGAAGGGACACATATACGGAAGCAAAGCGAGCAACCAGGATGAACCGAGGGATCTCTGGGAGCAAAGGGGTGGTTTTGGAAAACCTCTTCGGGCCATCCCTGGGGGCTGCGTGTCGGCGAGGGGAAGAGGAGGAAAAAAAAGAGGAGGAGGAGGTGGACGGACCCAAAGAGTGTGATCCCTGGTGTTGCTGCTGATGCTGCTGCTGCTGCTGCTGCTGCTGCTGGTGTTGCTGATGTTGTTGCTGCCCCTTGTGGTGCTGCGGCTGGTGCCCTGGAAGGCTTGTTGGGGCCATCTAGGAGAGCATCGATCAAATGA